TTGATAAGTAACTGAGATGTAAGGTAAAAGATTTTAAGCCCACCATTCTCATCCTGTCGACGCGATAAAGAGAAAAATTAATCAGTACTAATACAAATAATTGTCACAAGAAAAAGAGGTATTTAGTATTGCACTCTACATTGTTATTATAATCTATAATTAAGTTTATATGTTTTTTTCTAAACTGAAGTTTAGAAATGATACTTGCAAGGGTCGCAATATCGCCAGTATGAAAGAATCCTTCGCTGTCGAAACACGCATCTGTTGCCTCCTTGTTATTCCAATAACCCTAACATTAAAGCATAGCATTTGCGTGAGTACAATTATTATTGCTTTTTCTTATTTCGTATCGTATGGCTACAGTCGATTGCGCACATACAGTACATACCTTCATGACATTGGGTCCACGAACGCATAGTTCTCCGCGTTCGTTATATCCGAGCTCTGTGATAAACAAGACGAGTATCTTTTAGTAACGATCAACGGAGAACACGTATTTGAGAAAAGAAAAGAAACATTGGCACGTCATTCACCTTTGCCATCTTCGGATACAATCTTTGCCTCAAGGTTCGGTAAAAGCTTCCCAATTGAACCTGGATGATATTTAATTAGATTCCAAATTATACCCATAACCCGTTTCTTCCGTTTGTATGGAGTACCTACCAAAGACTGGATCCGAGGTGCTATCAATATGGGTAACCGGCGATGTCTCAGTTAAACCTACACGTGATAGTTAGAAAAGGATCAGAAAAAATATCACTTTGACTCTCAAGTAACAACAAGTATGCGAGGGGCATACCATATCCTTGCTTTATAGGTAATTTATAGATATTATAGAACTCATTAGTCAAGGTCTCGCCCAATGGTGCAGCGGCGCATAAGAATATTCGTATACTCGAAAAGTCAAAAGTTCTTGCGACCGGACTCTTTGTTAACAATAGTGCAATGGGTGGGACGACATGAGCTACGTTGACTTTGTATTTTTGGATAACTGTGCAAAAGAGCGTTAGATCGAACTTTGGAATGACCACAACGGTAGCGCCCTATGCAAGGACAAGAATGAATTTTAGTGTGAGAAGAGAAAATGATATGCCGAAAGACAAGCAGTTCACTTACTAGTGAAAGAGATGTGTTGAGAAGGGCATTCAATCCGTATATATGGAAAAATGGCTGAAATGAAAGTAGGAAAAGAAGTTAGCTAGAAGATAACTCGTCTTTTTTCCTCTCCGGTCTCAAGCTTACCAAAAACAAAATTCGAATTCAGTTTTGGTTCCTCAAACGCCTTGTACTGTTCAAAGTTAGCCACTGCGTTGTAATGTGTTGTCATAACTCCCTTCTGCAGCCCAGTCGTTCCCGAACTATAGCACAAAAACGCCGGTTGTTCCTTAAGCTCTTTTTTCGTAAATACAACCGGTTCGGCTTCTCGGTCTCCCAATAGATCCGTGTATGGTCTAATGCCATTTATTTCTTTTCCACCGAAAAGGAAAATTTTTGACAGAGGAAATTCGCAGTTTTTTGCTGCTTCGAGAGCAGTAGCCAAGATGATCGGATGGACAATTATGATTGAGGCGGTTGAATCGCAGAGTTGAGCTTGGAATTCTTTCGGTGTTTGCAGAGGATTTGCTAATGTTGGGATGCCACCTGTGCGGAATGATGAATATTGGTTAGATATATGAAGATGGATGTGTGGCAATAAGAACTATGTGATGCAAATGTTTAACTTACCGGCTGCAATTATGCCAAAGAGGACTATGGCATAGTCGATCTGATAATATCATAAACACGCATTAATCACTGTCCACCTTTAACTTTCTCCGTCTACGCTGAACATCCTTTACCTGATTAGGTGAGAATATAGCCACCACGTCGCCCTTCTTCAAATCAAGTTTGTCCCGTAATCCAGCTGCCAGTCTCTTTGAGTCCCTCTTTAATGCACCAAATGTCAACTCGGCCCCAGTCACAGCATCGATATATACTGGCTTGTTATCATCAATTCCATTTACGTTTCGCGTTGCGTATTGGTAGACACCCAATGATGGGATTTCAATATCAGGAGCTGTAGACCGGAATATCATGATTGTTTACACTTTCTAGAATGTGGACAGTGAGAGTATTTAAATGACATAGTCATAAATGTTTATTGGCTGGGTTGATACGTCTGTTGGGCGGCATACTGCTGTATTTTTTGTCACAAAGAATCGTCAGAAATGAATTTCCCGTTGATGCCATAGGATAAATCATAAACCGAGTACGTATACTACGCCTTTAGGCAATCTGCATAGAATATTAAAGTCTCACTGTATGCATCGTCATTTTGCATCCTATGAATATGGACTCGTAAAAATTTCCTTTCTGGACTAGTCACTATCTGCAGAAAAGAACAGACTCATAAAAATTTCCTTTCTGGGCTAGTCACTATCTGCGAATTGACCACATACAATGATCATTATCCAATGGTTTTCGATACCGTTTGCGACGTGCCAACGGTTTCCCAATGTGTTGATCTGGGGGTCTGGTTCATTTTCCCGACGGTTATTTGTCCGGCCCGACAGTCATTTGCCCGACAATTGTTATGATAAAGGCATTACAAACATGATAATAATACTGTCAGGCAAATGACGGGCAAATGACTGCCTGTCGGGCAAATAACTGTCGGGTCGGTCGGGCAATTGAACGCCACCCGTTGATCTGAGCTTTTTCTACTTAGCTAGTGTGCTACAATACTACTCGTAAGCTCTAACTATTTTTAAATAGCTCGAATCGAAAACTATGTAATAGTAACTTGTTCGATAATTATAAGTTATTGTTCGAACTGTTCATTTCCCCACACTTTCTCAATCTAATCATTTTTATTGCTTTATTCGGGTAATAATGACTTTCTTCTCTACGGGGTTTCCTACTAAATTTGATATTCACCGAACAGTTTCTAACAAGTTGTTAAAAATGTTGGTGGCAGTTCAACTTTTTACAGAGTTTTGTGATCGTTCGGCTAAAAACATACCTATCTCGTCCCCATACAGAATGAGTGAATAGTGCATTGCAGGCGTAGAATAGTACAATGAAATTGCTGTATGATAATTATTATTACACCGAGAAAGACATGGTTTGTAAAATAAAAAACCTCACATTTAACCATAAAGTTTGTATATTATTTGTGAGGTACTGTCACTTTAACTACCGTGGGAGAGAAATCGGTACAACCCTTGGACTTTAACTTGTTCAAACGAGGTGGCAAACTCTCCGTCGTTGAATCTGACAATTACAATTAGTGACCTTTTAACTAGACCTTCAATTTCTGATGACCTATGTTAATTTTGGAATGTTAATTAATCTCGAGTTGCTATTACTATGTCGATTTCTACTGGTGAGATAAAACACGGAACTACGTCTTGAAATTGCAACCTATCGGTTGGGGTAATACATATCTACACTAAACATGTTTCAGAACAATTAATTAACAGTCGTATGCAACCGGAATAATCGGACAAAATCGATTATTCTTAATAAAGAGGGATTAACGATTTCCCGCTCTACCAGCACAATTACTAAAAATTTATTAGAGTATCGAATTACAAATAAGAATGAATGGAACAACTATACTCTTATTCTTTGGGCTCACTAACATCATTATCGTCATCGTTATTTACTAAAGGCTCCACTAAAGTCACTGCTTCCCGAATTGTTTCTATTCAAAAAAAAAGATTTCTACTGTTTTTTCGATTATTTTTTTTTTTAAATCCAAGCTTTGATTTTATCTAACGAGATTCTTTGCGGGCTTCTTTGGTGCCGGTAAAAGTTGTTCAACTGTGGCCGGACTGAGACCTGCTTCTTCAGATAACATTACCATTTTGGAAGGAAAACGACCTTCCTTTTTTCTTCTCTCATTGAATAGAGCGGTCTACCCAGACAGCTTCGGTTTCGACAGAGTATTTGAATTGATATGTATGTGTGGATGATTTCCCTATTTAGCCAATTTAGATCAGCTAAGCCAATACAATTTACAGTGTGTCAAAAAAAAAACCGGAAAATTGTACGCATAACAAAAACGCGTCTAGCATGCCCAATTTGGAACCAATTTGCAACGCGTTTGATTCAAAAC